CAGAGCAGCTGAGGTGCTGCTGGGTTGCTCCAGTAGCGCCAAGGAGCGAGGAGCGGTGCTACTGGAGCAACCCAGCAGCCCCCCAGCTGCTCTGCCCCAGGTCCTGATTCAGCCGCTGCTGGTCAGTTTCAGCAGCGGCTGAATCTGGATGCCAGTTCCAACTTACATACAGATTCAACTTAAGAACAAACCTACAGTCCCTATCTTGTACGTAACCCGGGGACTGCCTGTAGTAATCTCTCACCTGATTAAAAACAGTAGTTGTAGACCAACAAATATCTATAGTGTTATGAGCTTTCATGGGCAAAACCCATTTCAGATGATCTTGAGTTAGGCCAGTGGTCTCCAACCTTTTTATACCCAAGATCACTTTTTAATGTCAGGACAAGCCAAGATCTACCCCATCCCTTCCCCAAGACCCCACTTAAGATCAACCCCATCCATTCCCCAAGACCCCACCCCTTCCTGGAGGCCCCGTCCTCTCTGTTTCCCTTTTCTCCATCACTTGCTATCTCCATCCCTTATACACTCTCATGGCATGGCTACACTGCCGCTTTTATTCAATAATTCTGTTGGAAGAAATTTTTCCGATATTTGGTCCATCTAGACTGGGCCAAGTGTCGGAAAACCCCCTTCTTTTGGAAGCCCCCTCATTCCTTGTGGAACAAGGAGTACAGCGGCTGCCAAAAGAGTGTGTTTGCTGGAAAAACTCCAGCAGTCTAGCCTCATTGTGTTGAGATAGGAGATGCGGGCTCTGGGGTGGGAATGAGGGATTTAGGGGTGGGAAAGAGGGAAAGGGGGGGATTTGAGTATGGGAAAGGGTGAGACGTGCAAACTCTGGGAAGGAACGTGGATGCAGGAGGAGGTGTAGAAGGGGATGCTGGCTCAGGGAGGGGGCTCCAGGCTGGGGAGTGTTGGGGTCAGGTGGAGGGTTGGGGTGCTGAGCAAGCTTGTGGATGTGATGGTGCAGGAGTTTGGGTTGGGGTGTGTGAGGGTCTCGGGGCAGGGAGGTTGGGAGTATGATGGGCAGGGCACAGATTTGCAGTGTGTGTGAATGGTGCAAGTGTGTTGTGGCAGAAGACTGAGGATGTGAGCGTGCAGGAGTTTGGGGATGAGAGGCTCAGGATAGGGGGTTCCCAGTATATGGTAGGCTCAGATTTGGGGTTGGGGTGGGAGGGGGGTACAGGAATGGTATAATGCTGTGGCCAGATGAGGGCTTGGCCCCAGTTGGGGGACTTGTTTGCCAGGTTCCATTTTTAAATAAAATACTATGTCAAACACAAGATTTCAGCCTTGTCTTTGAGGGGGCAGGAAACCTGTCTGAGTCAAGGGGCTACACAAGTGAGATACAAAAACACAACACCTCCAAACCCCTCAGGCTTCACTAATGTGGCCCCAACTGTGCTGTTGGGGACTGAGTGTCAGGGCAAAGGACTGGGGCAGGGGACAGAGTGCTGGTGGATGCTGGGGCAGGGTACTTGTGGGGGTCTGGGTAGGGAGAGGGGACAGGGACTGGTACCTGGGGATCTTGCAGCTGCGTGCCAAGGCCCAGGAAATGTGCAGGCTGCTCCCCCATCCCCCCCCCCAACAGCGGCTCAGTACCTGAAACACTGGTCTGTTGCATGCCTGATGCTTTCCTGTGTGGGGTGGGAATGGGGAGAGGGGGAGTCCTGGGCCACGCCAGCTGGAGCTGGTGTGCAGGAGACTGTATTCCCCTGCTGCCTTCCTGCGTGGGAGGGAGGGGGAGTCCTGGACTGCGCCAGCCCCAACCACTTGAACAGCGTGCACCTTACTCCTCTGCTCCCCATGGCAGCGCAGGCAGCCTGAGCAGCTGGAGCCAGTGCAGTCCTGGACCCCCACCCTCTGTTCCCCTGCTGCCTTCCTGCACGTGGGGAAAAGTCCCCAGCGCACGATAGACCGGCATTTTAGGTACTGTGCTGGCTGTTGGGGAGGGGTGAGGTGGGGAAGGAAGAGCAGCCCGTGCACTTCTGGGACCTGGCGTGCAGCTGCAGAACTCCCCCCTCCTCCCCCCCCCACCCTGACGGAAGCCTGCGCTCCTCCATGTCCCTGGAGGTAGCATCAGCGTGCCATTCATCTGGGGGGGGGCAGTGAAGGGGGGCCCCCCGAAAGCCTCACGATCAACTGGTTGGGCTCCCAGGATCGACCAGTTGATTGCGATCGACGGGTTGGTGACTACGGAGTTAGGCACGCCAATAAAGCTATCGGTGGTTTAAAGGTGCCAAGCTTTAGATTCCCATTTTCATGACAAATTATTTGAATTGCTAATTTTTTTATGGCTGCTAGGCTACATCATACAAGGTATGTCTACACTTGCACCCTCTTTTGGGAGAGGGATGAAAATGAAGACATTTGAAATGGCACATGAAGCTGGGATGTAAATATCCTGTGCTTCATTTGCATATTGTGCTATTTCAAAATAACAGATACTGTTAAAATGCAGCTATTTCGAGAGAACCCTTCTCTCAAAATAACTGATAAACCTCATTGTATGAGGAATAAGGTATTTTGAGAGGTTTTCTCTTGAAATTCCTGCGTCTTAACAGCGTCTGTTATTTTGAAATAGCGCTATAACGTTAATATACAAATGAAGCGCGGGATATTTAAATCCTGGCTTCATTTGCCATTTCTAATGTCTTCATTTGCATCCCTCTCTCAAAAGAGGGATACCCACAGTGTTTCTCTGATCCTGAGAAGAGATCTGTGATAAGTGAAGAGAAATACCCTTCAGGAAACACTCTTTTTAGAAGTGGAAAAGGTTGCACTTGGGGATGTGATAGTGTAGTTGATTAACTGGTTAACCAATAAGCAAAAGCTTATAGGTTAATACTATAGACTGCATGCATTTCCCTCCCCATCCCTTGTCAGTAAATTTTTTGCAGGCTGGTCAGCAGCCTGGCTTAGTTCTGGCTCATGCCAGGTCTAGAACGTACCCCTGCTGAGGCTCTGCATTTAAAGTGTGTTAGGAGACAGGTGGGCAGGCAGCCCGGCTTAGTTCCCACTTGCACTGTGTCCAGGAGCTCAGGTACCCCCTTAGACAGGGGCTGCTGCCACCCCATGCTGTTGCCTCTTTATCTGAGGCAGCCAGTTCACAAGGGGAGCTGTTTTTTAAACTATTTCCCCTGATGGACCAGCTCCCACCTGACATCCCATGCTGCCTCTGAGTGTTCAATTAACTGATATTTAACTCCTTAGTTGCAGTTGTAAGGTTTGATTCTGCAGCCTCTTGGTTTTGGGTGAAATCTGGCTATGCAGGGCAGTAGGCACTATGTCTTGCAGTGAATATAGGATTCAGTCCTTAAAGCTTTATTACTAACTTACTCAATTTGCAGAGTTGTAATTGTGATGGTCCCAGGATACAACAGGCAACAGGTAGGTGAGACCTTTCTTGGGCCAACTTCTGTTGGTGGAACATTTGAGCTTATAGAGAGTACTACTTTACATCTGGGGGATGAAGCAGAGGATGAGCTAAATAACAGTTGGGGAAAGATGTTGGAGGTGGTCATTTCTGTTGCTTCTTCTGTTAATAAGTTGAGGCTACATCTACACTGGCATGATTTTTCCGGAAATGCTTTTAACGGAAAAGTTTTCCATTAAAAGCATTTTCGGAAAAGCGCGTCTAGATTGGCAGGACGCTTTTCCGCAAAAGCACTTTTTGCGGAAAAGCGTCCGTGGCCAATCTAGACGCGCTTTTCCACAAAAAAGTCCTGATCGCCATTTTCGTGATCAGGGCTTTTTTGTGGAAAATAAATCTCTGCTGTCTACACTGGCCCTTCTGCGCAAAAGTTTTTCGGAAAAAGACTTTTGCCCAAACGGGAGCAGTATAGTAGTCTGTGCTTTTGCAGAAATATCTTACATGAGATAGTCAGTGCTTTTGCGGAAATTCAAGCGGCCAGTGTAGACATCTGGCAAGTTTTTCCGCAAAATCTGCTTTTGCAGAAAAACTTGCCAGTTTAGAGACAGCCTGAGTGTTTATTAAGCAATAATTTCTTCTTCATACATGCTGGGGCTGCTACCATGCTCCCTGGCTTGAAATAGTAATCTAAATGGCTACGTCTACACTGGCCCCTCTTCCGGAAGGGGCATGTAAATTTCAGCAGTCGTCGTAGGGAAATCCGCGGGGGATTTAAATATCCCCCGCGGCATTTAAATAAAAATGTCCGCCGCTTTTTTCCGGCTTTTAAAAAAGCCGGAAAAGAGCGTCTAGACTGGCCCCGATCCTCCGGAAAAAGTGCCCTTTTCCGGAGGCTCTTATTCTTACTTTGAGGATCGGGGCCAGTCTAGACGCTCTTTTCCGGCTTTTTTAAAAGCCGGAAAAAAGCGGCGGACATTTTTATTTAAATGCCGCGGGGGATATTTAAATCCCCCGCGGATTTCCCTACGACGACTGCTGAAATTTACATGCCCCTTCCGGAAGAGGGGCCAGTGTAGACGTAGCCAATGTGTCTTCTGCCTTCAGCACCTCTAACTGTTAAACAAGACTGTTTCAACACCAATGCTCTGCTTCCTACCGCAGATGTGAAGAACTATGTAAGCTCAAACTTGTACCTTCCGCCAACAGAAATTGGTCCAATAAAAGATTACCTCACCCACCTTGTCTAACTTCATTTAGCCACTCAAATTATTGGAGTAGTTTCAAGTATTACTCCTGTGCCTGAGTCTTCCATCTAGTTGCTGTGTGGCTTTTTAAAATCCTGCTTTTCTTCTGTTGCTAAATGAAAGACCCAGTAAATGGTATGAATATTAATATGTAGGAGGTAAGAGGGGCCAGTGTTTGCAAAGTAAAAGTAAAAACAGAATAAGCTTTCAGAGTGATTTTGGTGGGTCTCTTGTACAAATTGACTGTCGTGACACCATATCCCTACTGGAGTTCTGATACATGGGTTTGCTGCTTCATTTTGGTTTTATGTGGCTCTCAAAATGGGCTTACCAATAGCAAGTATGAGTATCTATATCTCTTGGTATAAGACAATTATGACAGCAGTTTGAGTCTATTTGCTGCTATTCTAGGCTTCAAAGTGACTTGCTGTGCAGAAAGCACCTCATTTTGAATGTGTAGTCTCACCAGCTTTCAGACTCGTAATAAAGATTCTCACTGAGAATCTTTAGGAAGAGTTTAGTACCTAGGATTTCCTAGAAATAACTTTAATTCCTGATCTAATTTCATAATGTGGCTGATATTTTAACAGACTCTTCTCTTCAATTACTTCTGGTCTCTCATGATTGCATTACACTTCCTGTGCAGTCTAATATTCCTATGATCAGTTGCATATGGAAAAGTGGTAAGAATGTCTTCAATGAGAGCGCTCTACAGCTGGCTAAAGGTTAGTTGGTGTCTTTTCTCTACTCTGACCCCTCCCCTTTCTCTCTCTCTGCTGGAATGGAAGAGCCAGACCCATGAATTCTGGCAGCTTACCCTTCCAGCTGTTGGTCTTCAGAGCATCAGTGACAGTGATGCCTCCAGCCTGAGGAGAACACTTGGATGGCCCTCTACAAATCTCAACCTGTTATGTTCCATTTAGTAGCACTTGTTCATCCAAAGTAGACCAGATGGATAGTGCACTCTTGCTCTGCTCTTCTCACTTGGTGTTGGAAAGAAGTAAAGGCAGGCACCTCCCTCCCCACAGCTTAATAACTGTCCCTACAGCTGGCAATAAGTAAGGACCCCATATTACAATTTCCATTAATGAGGAACTGAAATAGATGACTGCAATCTCCTCTCCCCCCCCACCAAAAGAGGCACAGACAACAAATGGTAAAATGGTAGAGGGATGCCTGTGTTCTAATGTCCAAGCATTCTGTTACCTCCTGCAAGGGAGATGGCTCCACCTGCTTTTTGATACAGGTAATCTGTTTTCCCTCCATTGTACCATCATAAGAGACTGCAGTCTGTTTTAGCTTGGAGTTCTGCTTAGTATGTTACACTGAAAAGATTTGGGTCCACACTGCATAGTTCAGATCTGGATTAAAATTGTCCTAATGATTGGTGCTTGGGCTCCTTTCTCTGAGCTGTTATCTTAAATGTAATTCTGTTTGTTTTTTTAATAATGACTGAAACATTAATGGTTCCTTTTGGAGAGACTACAGTACTGGAAAACTAAGTACACCCCAAAAGGCAACACTCTGGACCAGATTCCTCAGAGCATCATACTATTTCTGTTGTAGCAGAATTGCTATAGTATTATGCATTGCTTCTCGTCTCATGTTTAAATCATGAGTGGATAAGATCTTCACTTCATTGAGTTGAGGGCAATTCTAGCTCTTTTAAAATTGTTCTTTAGGCCTGTCTTGGGTGGCTGGATTTTTAGGATGTTGACAGCTGTTGGGGATGGGGAGGGGAAGAGTTTTACTATTTGGATTATGTAAAGACTAACCTTAAACAGCTGGTAGGCTTTTTTTGCTATGCACCCAAGAAGCTCAGTGTGCTGATCTGACTTGCATTGTTGGTTATGCAGTTGTTTAATAGTATAGAAGTTGACTTAACTTCTGAGATCTATTTAGCATGGTACCCCAGGGCTAACATTCTGTGAGTTTTACAGTATTTAGTATTCATCATTCTGAAATATTTGAGAAATTTATTGATCAAATGTTTGATTAACCAACTACCGTGGCTTTCTCAGCAACTTTACTGCTGGTTTACATTTTAGGACTTCACTTAAAACCCTCATTTTTGGGAATCGACTGGTTTTAACTGAGTTTCTACTTGTCTATTTGTCTCTTGCAAGTGATGAATTTAGCATTTTGCTTTAATGAAGGCTGCTAACGTATAAAAAGTGGGTAGGTGTACTGAAGATACAGTCCCTGACCCAGTTACCTGCAGTCACAGGTAAAGTTCCTGAACACACATTAATGTAGCTAAAGAACTTGCTTTGGCAGCAGTCGTCAGTCTTTCATTTGTAGACTCCTAACTCTGAGTAGAGATACAGACCGTTTTGAAAAATCAAGCATAGTCTGCAGCTCCTCAAGGGTCTGCCAAGATCACAGGTTAAAAATCACTCTGCTATGGCAGGGATCTCTTGCTTCAGCTGTTTAAACAGTGTTATCACATGTGGCTGTGAAGACAGCATTAGTTTTACACTAGATTCACTTTAAAGTTGTAACTTCCTGAATTTGTAGGCAGTCTGCAATCTTCTTGGCAGCAATTCAAACTCTCCACTTAAATGAAAGGGGGTAGTAGCTCCTGTTCCTCCATAAACCTGGTATCTTAGTTTTGTTTGGGTGTTACCATTTAGGTAAGCTAAGGCTATGGAATTAAATTCCATGTCACTTAGACCTTTCTGCCCTTTATCTTGGATCACTTACTCTGGGATTTTGGCAAGTGGCATGGCTGAGGCTGCCATCGTTATTGGCAATGGTGTCCCTTTGGCACTAGGTTTAAAAACTACTCTGTGCAATTGAGCAAGGTGAAGCTACAGTTATCCAAGCATGCTGGTACAGAGGGGCCAGGGAGGCAATGAGGGAAAGGCTAAGGCAGTGGTCTCCAACCTTTTTGACCACAAGATCACTTTTTCAATGTAAGTGCAATGTAAGATCTACTTCAAACCCAGTACCCTTGTTCCACTTCCTTCCCACCCCTTCTTTGACACCCTGCCCCTGCTCCACCACTTCTCCGACACCTCACTCACCCTGCTCACTCCATCCCCCTTCTCCCCGAACCTCATTCACTTTCTCCAGGCAGGGCATAGGGATTAAGTTGCAGGCTCTTCTCTTGGATCAAGGGATTTGGAGTGTGGGAGGGACTCTGGGCTTAGCCCCAGGTGGGGCATTGGGGTCCAGGAGGTGTGTCAGGGTGCAAACTATGGGAAGGAGTTTGGGTGCAGAGGGACTCATGTCTGGGGCAGGAGGTTAGATGCAGGAGGTGGTTCAGGTCTGTGACAGGGGTTCAGGAAACAGTTAAATGGTGCCCACTCAGAGCCTGAGATGGCTTCTGGCTGATGGAGCAGTGTGGCTAAGGCAGGCTTACTCCTGCCCTGGCACTGCAACACTCCTGAAAGCAGCTGGCATGTACATCAATGGCTCCATGTGCTGCCCCTCATCTACAGGCACTGAGCCCACAGCTTCTACTGGCCACAGTTCCCTGTTGATCAGTGGGAGCTGCAGGAGTGGTGTCTGCAGGCAAGGACAGCATGTGGCGATTCCCATCTCTGCCTCTCTCATGGGCTGCAGGGACATGCTAGCCACATTCAGGAGCAGCAATTACCATTGGGATAATTACTCCAGCCACAACAGGTTAAATTTTTAGAACTTAAAGAATTGAATTTAAGCATTAGAAATGAAAATCATGAAATGCACAGACCAGTCACAAACCCAAACTAACCCACTTTGCAAGCAGTCCAAGAAATAACAACAATCTCCCACATGTGTTGGGTCAGGAGATGAGTGAAGGACTGTGTCTCGGATTTTTTTTCTCTCTGTCTCTCTCTCTCACAGATTTGTGTTGCCAGGCTCCCTCCATCCCCTTCTGTCTGGGTGGAGATAGGGAGTACACCTCGACATCTGTGCCCCCTTCTCCCTCCCACATCCTGTACAGCAAGCAGGAGGCTTCTAAGGGGCAGCTCCAAGGCAAAGGGCAGGAGCAGCATGGCAGTGGCTGCAGGGGCAACTGAAGTGCAGCCACTTGAGAGCTTCCCGGCCAAATCTGTCACGATCCCCTATCAGAGGCTCCAAGATCTACTGGTAGATCCAGTTGGTGACTGGGCTCAGGAGTGCATTATGTGTTCATGTCTCCAGGCAGTGGCTGTCTCATAGCAGAAAAAGCCCTACTACTTTTAACGAAGCCTCCTTAGTTGAAGTCACAGAAATTCTGTGGATTAGTTTACGTGGCTTTGCTTTTTTTGGCTAGGAAAGTTCTTGTTCTATACCTGATGCCACATATGCTGTCTAGCTGAACACCAGCACTTGTCTCAGAGGCACATGGAATATCACTGGAACTATGACTTGAGAGCCTTGCAGGACAGCCTGAAACCCAAAGGTGCTGTTCCTTAAAATATAAAGGAAGCAAGAGTAGGTTATACTGCTTGCTGGAGATGGGGGAAGGTGACAACATAATCACAGATTCCTTACTTCTAATGAATGCTGCCTGTGAAAACAGTGTAACAGCTGCATATGTATGAGCTTTGGTTGTGATGGTCTATTGCAAGTTCCATAGTATATGGCACTCATTAGCAAAACATTGAAGCCCAAACATGTCAGAACTATGCATTTGAACCCTTCCAGTAACAGCCACGTTCAAACACTGAAATGCTACCCTTACAAGGTTCTGTTCTCTTTTTGGTCAGAGCTTCTCTTTAGTAGAAAGGCAGATTGTATTGAAACTGGCTTGTGATAACTGAATCCTTCCAGGAGGGCTCATGTATGGATTTACAAGGCAAGGAGGATCAACAATTTTGGCTTCTGCCACCTCTTGCAAATCACCTCAGTGTCACTCAGGTTACACTTGAGACACTAGGGTGTGTGGGTGGTGGCATTTTTTTTCTCTTCTGGAGGAGCAAGAAATGTAGCTTAGTAGTGGTGGCATATTAACATTTATCTGAGCCCATAGACCAAAAGCCTCGAGTGACTAGTGAGTGCATGATTCAACTCTTGAAAACCCAACTTGTTTTCTTAAAGGGGCTTGACTTTCAAGCACAGCACAATAGCCTAGGTGGAGAAGGATAATTCCATTTCATGGAGGATATAAGTAATTCAAAATTTTGTCCTGGTTGGCAGACTCCTGGAGCTGGGCCCTCCAAGAGCTGCCTGTAATACAGAACTGCTGGCATCAAAACAAACACCATGGGATGAAGCTACAGTGAGGTTTTCATATTCAAGGGTTTTTTCTTAAAAGCTCACAAAATAGAATCGAGTAGGCAAATACTATGTGGCTTGTAAAGCAGGTTCTGATCGACACCACTAAAAGCTTTCGTAGCTGAATGAGTAGCATTCCCAAATGGGAAGCCTAAGCTGGCAAACTTCTTCTTGTTGTTGTTTTAGTGATTCTCTATGCAACCAGGATACTGATGTATTCTTTCTGGGGTGTGGGGCAGAATTTCCCTGTCTTAAAGTAATTTGCCATATTTCTGTAATGGGGTGGTGTTCTACACAGATGTGTTAGAAATTGGGTAACTGAATAGTCAAGTAACCACATGAACTCTTATTGGTTACTTGACTATTCTGTAGTCCCCTGTACTAGAGGCAGCAGTGCAGGATGCCAGGTGAGATCCAGTCCATGAGAGCCAGTTCAAAACCAGCTCCCCTTGTGGACTGGCTGCCTGCCACTCTGCACTGCTGCTTCTGTATCAGAGACAGCAGTGTGGAGTGGCAGCAGCCCCTGTCCATGGAGGGG